TGCTCTGCTCTGCATCTTGACCTCAGGTTTCTTCTCATCCCGTCCATTCTATTAGCCCTGGGCCCTCCCCTTCCCCTTGCCAGCCTGGATGCTCAAGGCTGCAGGGGCAGGACCACGGAAGAGGTAGAAGGGGCAGACACCCAGGTGATTTCAGCAAGCCCCCCCCCTTTAGCACCCCCCCCCCCCCCAGTCTCCAGGGCTGTTTGCTGACGCTGGGTTTTTCAGAGCCAGGCGCCAGCCCGCGGGTGGCTCTCTGCAGGTGTCAATTTATTCTAGAGATGGGGACACAGGAGTCCTCACCACTCACACCCAGTCATGCCCTCCCCCTTTTCAGGCCCTTTTAGGCTTCTGTTCTCCCATCACCTGAAGGGGGTTTGGAGTGGACTCCCCCCCACCCCATCTTCTCTTCCTATGCCAGGCTGGGCCTTGCTGTCCCTCCTCCCTCTTACCAACATGGCCTGCCTCAGTCACCTCTTTCCCTTAAGGTACTTTGGGCCCCTTGCCTCCTCTCCTTCAACTACCTTTTCTCTCTTCCCTCCCACTAGAGCCCTCCCACCATCTTTCTCCTCTGCACAGGGTCCCTCAGAGCATCTTTTCTAGGCTTAACCGGCTTGCTCCAGCTCTTGCCTTCAGTCTCTCACCTCTCGGTCTTTTCTCATTTCTGTCTCCTTGGTGTTTCTCATCGCTCTCTCCCCCAAATACCTTCTCTGATTTTCTCCCTCAAGTGCGCTCTCTCTCTCTCTCTCTCTCTCTCTCTCTCCCTCTCCTTTCTCTATTTCTCTCTCCCCCATTTTCTCTCTCCATCTCTGTTTGCTACATCTTGCTCCCCCTCCTCCGGATCCCTCTGCTTTGCTCTTCCATTCCAGCCCAGGCCTGACTCCCCCAACCGAGGAGAGTTGAGGGACGGGGGCTCAGGCCGCAGCCCCCCCCCCCCTTCCTGCAGTGGGGAAAATGGCTTGGCCGGGAATGGGAGAAGGAGGGGGAGGGGGAGATGGGAACACACGGGGTCTGTGGGCCCATTCAAAGGATCATTCATGGACTGGAGAGAGGCAGAGACAAAGAGACCAAGACGCAGAGACACGGCGAGAGCATCCTTAGGCGGAGACACGCAGACAGAGCAGGCTGGGGGAAACCAGGCGCAGGGAGGAATATGGGAGGAGGAAGACCCCAACGGACCACCGCGCAGCCCCTTCCACCCAGCCTGGCTTAGCTCCTACCTGGATCAGCCCTGGGGCCGTGGTGTCTCCATCCAGGGCTCCGAGTCGGGGGCTGACGGGCTTCAGAAGGGGGGCGGCGGCCTCTGAGCCCCCGCGGCCCCGCAGGCCCAGCCCCCGCCTGCAGCGCCTCACCCGGCGGGGGAGGGGGATCGCCCCAGCCCCGGGGGGCGGGGCCGGGATCCAGTCGATCCCCAGGAAAAGGAAAGCTAGGGTATAGGGTCAGAGAGAGCTCAAGAACAGGGAACCCCGCAGTGGGGAAGGTTGAGCCAGGAGGGAGCAACGGGACAGGGATAGATTGAAGATCCACTGGCTCTCTGGGCCGGCTTCGAGGGACCAGGAGGCGGTACAGGCGGAAGATCCTAAGGGATCGAGCGCTGGAGGAGGAGTCCACAGCAATCCCCAGGGGCCCGGGGCCCCGGAGCGCAGAATCCGCGGTGCAGGGGCAGGGATCCAGCCGGAATCCTCGGGGAGGGGGAGGGATCTAGTCGATCCCGAGGGCGGGCGGGAGAGGGAGATCCGGGGAGTCAGAAGAGGGCGGGGGCCGAGTCCGGAGCCTCGAGGCAGAGGTCGGTGTGGCTCCTAGGAAGGAAGGCAAGGGCTGGGGGAGGCTTTGGGGGAATGCTCAGTATCCAGGAGGCCCGGATTCCTGGCTCTGCGCGCCAGGGCCCGCCCGCCCCGCGTCCATCCCAGCCCGAGAGTGATGATCCGCCGGCGGAGCAGCCGCAGCAGCCCCGCGCGTCACCGCGCGGCCGCCTCCCCCGCCCCCTGCCGAGAGAGCGGCGCACACCCCTCGCTCGCACCCGCCTGCCCACCCGCCCTCTAGAGTGTGGGGGGATTGAAGACAGTGAAGCGGGTGGGAGTGGACAGACGGACGGATGGACGTAGCGGGCTGGGGCAGGGTGAAGACATTCTCCCCGGATCTCCCACCCTCGGGGCTTTCCGGGTCTAGGGGGGGGGGGGAGAAAAATCTGAAATATAGAGGGAAGGGCATCACACAAGAAGGCGGGGCCTCCAGGCACAGAGGAGGGGCCATCCGTGAAGTGGGAGGTGTTTAATGGCAATAGGTGGTGCTTAGAAATCCGTGGAGCCGCCCCTTTTGAGGAATGGGTCTGGTTTGAAGCTGAACGGGAGGAGCCTGAGGGAAAAGGGGCGGAACTTTGTGTGGGGACCGATATCTTTGCAAATTAGCTGTAGGTGTGGGGTTGGGGTGTCGAAGGGGCGATCAACTTGGAAAGTGGGCCAATCCGTGACGCAAATCCCTTAGTCCCGCCCACAACCTCGCCTCCCACTGCTTCGCTCCTCTGCTCCTAATTGGTTCTAGTTTCTCCGCCCGCCAGACGTCTTCTCCACTCAGCACAAGTTTTACAAAGGCATATATAGGAGGAACCGGGACACTAAATGAACACAACCCTGATTGGGCACCTTTGGACCTTATTTGCATGGGCAAGCTGGATTGGCTGACTTCTTGGGTGGCCAGGGCGGTGTTGGTTCCGCGCGTGACCACCCACAGCTATGGCCGTGGTAGGGGCTGCTTTCCGCCGCCTAGGTGCCTTGTCCGGAGCTGGGGCCTTGGGTTTGGCCACCTACGGGGCACACGGTCAGGGGACGTGGGATGCAACTGGGCTGGGGGCGATCGTTGGGGTCTGGTGCGGGAAGGAACCTATAGGAAACGCTCTGTCTCTTATGGAGTAGAGATCCTTTGGAGTCCAGTTTTTTAGTGGGACCAAAAGCTACTCGACACCTGTTTCCACCAATCGGAAGCTTTCGGGAATGCCCTGTTTCGCCAGTGTCTGCGTGGGTTCCCTGGGGACTGGGACGGTCGAGACTAAAACCCATCTGATAACTTTTGCTTCTCTCCACAGGCGCCCAATTTCCGGATGCCTACGGGAAGGAGGTGAAGTAACAGCATTGGGGATCCCGGACTACAGGCGCAATATCTGGGCGTTTTTAAAGTGGGGGGGGGGGGGGTAGGGATGTTGAAAGTAGAGGGTGAGGAGATGAATGGGAGGGGCTGCAAGCCTGTGGCTTGGGGATCTGGGGGAGCAGTAAACTGGGACTTGAAGTGCAGAGAGTGGACTTTGGTCCTGTGTGGCACTTCAGGTTCCTGGGCTTCTGTATTGCTTAGAAAAAAAAAATCTCTCTCTTTTCTTTTTTTCCCTTGCAGCTCTTTGACAAGGCCAACAAGCACCACTTTTTGCACAGCCTGGCCCTGTTAGGGGTGCCCTATTGCAGAAAACCCCTCTGGGTAATCAGCCCTTTGCCTAATTCTGACCAAACCCCATTCATTCTCTCATAGGGCTTTGTTCTTAAAACACTGTATTCTGTTTTCCATTTCTCTCAGGCAGGATTACTGCTAGCTTCTGGGACTACCTTATTCTGTACCAGCTTTTACTACCAGGCTCTGAGTGGAGACACTAGCATCCAGACTGCCGGTCCTGTCGGAGGGAGCCTGCTGATCTTGGGCTGGCTTGCCTTGGCTTTGTGAGGTCTCCTGTTTAGTTGTCCTGTCCTGGACTTTCTGTGTAACTGGGGGGGGGGGGGGGGAGGTAAAGAAGAAATGAAAAGAAAATGGCAATAAAAAAATAAAGAACTTTGGCATCTTCATTCATCTAACCCTAGCAAGGAAGGGTAGAGAGTCAACCCTTGAATTCCTTGCATTTCTCAGACTTACTAATAAGCCTTGGCCCTGGAATCCTGTGCTTTACAAGGTCCGGTAATTAATGGTGGGCAAGACTCATATAGAATGCTTGAAATAATGCAGCTTCCTACCCAAGAAGCACATGGGAATTGTAGATTTTAGTAAGTCCATTCGTGTAGTTCATTGAAAGTTTCCCCCAGTGCTGGGGATTGACCCCAAAGCCTTGGAAATGTTAGACAATTTCTCTACCGTTAAGTTATATGCCCAACTGCCTCCTGCCGTAGCCTCCTGCTAGTTGAGATTACTGGTGTGAGAATCTGGTTAGTTGCGAGTGGTGGCTTTAGCCCTGTCATTCCAGGGTTGCTCTTTGCAACAGTGTCCACCTGGAGAAAGAAATGTGTTACATACCGACACACTCCAGCAGTGAGAGCCAGCCAAGACAGAAGAGTCATGTGATTAGTTGTAAACTGTTGTAACATCAGCGCAGAGCAGAGTGTTACGTATTGGGCATCAGAAAATGACTCACAGTGCTTGAGATGGACCCTAAGTCCTAGTGTGTGGAGGAACTCAGTGTAAGGAGACTGGAGTAGAAGGGGGTGGTGGCGTGGGTCTTCTCTGTGGCTGAGTTTTGAACTAAGGCAGGCAAAGAGACACACGGTTGCAAAGCAGATCTGACTAACACTCACAGAATGGAGAGAAATGGAAGTTGTTTAGGGGACAGCATTTAGTCAGCCAGTGTTGATGGAGTGGCAGACACCAAAGAGGGCCGGCCTGGGCAGGACGGATGCTGCAGGACGGACGCTGTCGTTTCCTGACAGAGCTCCTTAACTAGCAGTAGGAACTGGGTTGGAAACAAGTAAACGCACAGATACATTGGTTGCTATGCGCTTAGCTCCTTAACTAGTAATAGGAACTGGGTTGGAAACAACACACAGATATGTTGGTTGCTATGTAGTAGCTCCTTAACTAGTAGTTGGAACTGGGTTGGAAACAACTAAACACACAGATACATTGGTTGCTATGCGCTTAAAGGGAAAGAATAGGTGGGCTGGGCCGTGGAGCATGTTCCCACTCTGATGGGAAGACCCCACCCAGCAAGGAGGTCCTAGTGAAAAAGGACCAGGACCAAAAAGACAAGAACTGAACAAGATCACATAAAATGTTTATCATTTAGACAGTGTCCACACCTTCAGAAACTAAAGCGTGCACCTTCAATATATTATATAAACTGCTATAAAAAAACAAAGCCAGATGTGGTAGTACGTGCAGTACTTGGAAAACAAGACGCTGAAGGATTACAAAAGCCAGCTCAGGCTATGTAACAAGACTCTCTCCAAACAAAAATACAGTGGTCCAGTCCCAGGTCGGTGGTAGTCGCAGTATCTGCTTACTGGGTGTCTTGCTTTGACCATGGCCGAAAGGGAAACGTATATTCAGGCAAAAGGAATGGCTAACAAGACAGGTTGAAAGAAGCAGCCCCAAGTCCTGGAGAGAAAAAGCCAGATGAATAGGAGTAAGGACAAAACCAGCGTGGCACCCATGAGCTAAGAGACTCCAGATGGTGGGAGCAGGCCTTAAAGATGCGGTTAAATTGCCTCTTTTTTTTCCAATTTTTTTTTTTTTTGATTTTCAAGACAGGGTTTCTCTGTAGTTTTTGGTGCCTGTCCTGGAACTAGCTCTTGTAGACCAGGCTGGCCTCGAACTCACAGAGATCCTCCTGCCTCTGCCTCCCAAGTGCTGGGATTAAAGGCATGCGCCACCACCGCCCAGCTAAATTGCCTAACTCTTATGTGCAGTACAGTAGTTAAGTTACTAAGTTTTAAGTCATCCTTTTAGGCTCTTATTTGTGTGCGTAATTTTATCTTCTTGAGATAGGGTCTCCTGTATTCCAGACTGGACTCAAAGACCCTATATAGAAAAGGGTGATTTTGAACTCTTGATATTTTTTTGGAGGGGGTTGGCATTGAGACTGGGTCTATCTAGCTATCTTTCTACCTATATTATCTATCTATCTCCCTCCCTCTGGTGTGCTGGAACTCACTCTGTAGACTAGGCTGGCCTCAATCTCACCGAGATCCACCCATCTCTGGTGGGATTAAAGGCAAGCGCCACCACCACCCCAGCTATATCGGCATACTTTTAAGGTTAGGATTTTTATTTCCTACCCTCAGCCCTGCTAAGATGCAGATTCCTTTTATTTTTTTAAATTTGTTATTATTATATGTGTGTGTGTGTAGTGTGGACATCAAAGGACAAACCTCAGGGGTTCTCTCTTTCAGGCCTGGGCTCTGGGAATAAACCCAAGCCTTCACTCAGTCTTGCAGAGCAAGCGCTTCTACCTGCTGAGCCATACCGCCAGCTCTGAGCTGCAGATTCCTGTGCTAACAGCTTTTGTGTGGCTTGTGTCTTTGTTACTTTTCTATTGCTGTGATTAGACACCCTAACCAAGGCAATTCATACAAGAGTTTGTTTGGGGCTTACAGTTTCAGAGGGTGAGTCTATGACCAGCCTGACAGGGCAGGCAGGCAGGCAGGCATGGCACTGGGGCAGTAGCTGGGAGCTCACATCTCTATCCACAAGCACCAAGCAGATGGCTAACTGGGAATGGTGTGGGCTTTTGAGGTGGAGTCTGCCTCCAGTAAAAGGCCACCTCCAGTGAGGCCACACTTCCTGAACAGTTCTCCCAGCTGGAGACTTAGCGTTCAACAATATGAGCCTATGGGGGCCATTCTCACTGAAATCAGTTATTTGCGTGAGCTGGGCTCCTGTAGCCCATGCTGGTCTCAGAATATCTGTATATCCCTGATCTCTTGATCCTCCTGTGTATCCTCTGTGTATCCTTCAACTCTTGATCCTCCTGCCTCCATCTCCTAAGTGCTAGGATTACAGGCCTGAGCAACAGGCCTGGCTTGCCAAAACTTTTAGGGTCACATCAAGAGAAAATATGCATCAGTGTGACAGGATGCCAGGAGCTGTCACAGAAGGGCACAGGCATTCAGGGCACACATACGGAATGTACGGGAGGGATCAAGAGAGGGGACCCCGGCTGAAGCTTCTTTTGGGGCCCACAGCATTTCCCGTATGTGTTAGTTTCCCATGACAGGACTGGACTACTTAACTTAAAGGGAGCACAAGCCAACAGTGGGGAACTCGATGGTTTGGTTCACCAGGCTTACAACCACAGCAAGGTTTCCAAGTGGTTCACAGTATGGACTTTCTCTTACTAAAGCCGGACAGGGTAGAGAGTGCCTTGAACCATGTAGGTCAATATGATAAACCCAGACAGGAAAACAAAATAGAAGCCCAGGGCTAGAACACAGCTGAGTAGCAGACCACTTGACTAGCATAGTCAGGCTTCCTAGCACCAAACACACACACACACACACACACACGCATGCTCACATACACACACAGGAGGGTAATGTAAAGATGATATTGATAAACCACAGAGAAACCCTGTCTCGAAAGAAAAAAAAAAAAGATGATATTGATAATAAGAATAGAGACAGTTCCTGAGCAGGTTTCTGTTTTTTTTTTTTTTCCCTTTAAAGACAGGCTCTCACTGTGTAGTCTGGCCCTGTAGAACTCACTATGTAGACTAGGCTGACCTTATCTCTGCCTTCCGAGTGCTGGGATTAAAGGTATATATCATTATGCCAGGCTGAAGTCAGACTTGTTGTTAGTGGAATGAACTACATAGCTAGGCATAATGGTGAATGCTTTCAATCCCAGCACTTGGGAGGCAAGGACAGACATATCTCTGTGAATTGGAGACTAACCAGGACAGCCAGAGCAACATAGTGAGACCCTGTCTCAAGTAAAAGAAAAAAAAAAGAATAAAAAATGTTCTGCATGTGTGGTTGTAAGCTAAAGTGGGTGAGCTGGGGCTCACATTTTCCTAACACCTCCCAAGGTTAAACTCTTCTATTTCAGGGTCTCGAGAGATGGCCCAGTGGTTAAGAACACTGGCTGCTATTCCAGAGGACCTGGGTTTGATTCCCAGCACATACATGGTAGTTTACAACCCTAAATCCAGTTTCAGGGGATCCAACACCTTCTAATCTGACCTCCACTGGCACTGCGTGCACCTTGTGTAGAGACACACACGCAGGCAAAACATCTATACACATAAAATAATAAGAACTGGAAAACAAAGCAGACTTCAGCAATGGAATCACGGCCCTGGTTATTAAGACTATCCAGGCCAGTGTGCTCAGTCTTCCACTGAGGTGGGCTTGTCTAGACTCTGGGGACTGTTAAGGCTGTGTTTTCAGGGTTAGTAAGAAGTCACCAGCCGGGCGGTGGTGGCGCACGCCTGTAATCCCAGCACTCGGGAGGCAGAGACAGGCGGATCTCTGTGAGTTCGAGACCAGCCTGGTCTACAGAGCTAGTTCCAGGACAGGCTCCAAAACCACAGAGAAACCTTGTCTCGAAAAAAAAAAAAAAAAAAAAGTAAGAAGTCACCAAAGGAAAGGACACAGGATCTTAGAAGTAACAAGCCAACAGGGAAAAGAACACCGATGAAAGCAGGGATTGGATGGGCAGGCAGGAAGTGACTAGCGAGAGCAAGAGGGGCATTTGTGTTGTGCAGCGGCAGCGGGGTCTCCCAAGCCAAGCGTGACTCACCTTCCAATTCTCTTTTGCTTACATCCTATCTCTGAGCCATGATGAAGTCATGTTTCCTCAAATGCTCTTACCACCGGCGCTACTGCCCTGGTTTCTGGTCCAATCCATCACATTATACTCAGATTGCTGCAAGAACCTCCCTCCTCGCCTTTGCCTACCTGCTGCCTCATGAGTTCTAACACTGTAGTTCTCAGTTTTGCCTGTATGACAAAAGCTGGAATCCTCAGAGTTCCTGTACCTGCACCTCGTCTCAGACATTAAAATATAATTGATAACAAGATCCAGGCAGAAGTGGTGGGCTGTTTTTGTTTGTTATTTTTAAATAGCATCTCACTTCCAAGAAGACCTGGAACTCATGGTGACCCTCCTGCCTCGGTCTTCAAAGCACTGCAATTTCGGTCGTGATCGACACCTACCCAGATACTATGCTTTCTTTTGAGGGAGGGGGTCTTTAGCGAGTCTTGCTATTGTTGACCTGACTTGTTCTGGAACTCATTGGCCTCATACCTCCTGCCTCTCCCTTCCTGAATGCTGGGATTACAAGCGTGTGCCACCATGCAGAGGAATGGGGACCTGTTCTGTTCAAGTGTTTTTCCTTGAGCCTCACCTCACGCACATTCATTATTGATCCCTCTCGGCAGTAGCCTGTCACGCGTGTGATGGGTGCACCTGAACTGAGAGGTACCGGAGTAGGTCAACGCTGCGACAGGGAGAGAGCACAGCGAGGTCGCCCGGTGGTAGGAGAACGCCGAGCCAACTCTGGAAGCCCATGAGTGTGAACGCTGCTCCGCTGCGTCAGCGACGCCCGACCCGCCCTTGGGAGGAGGATCGCGGGGTCTGGAGCAGCCACGCGGTGGGGAGGTAGCACTGCCGCCCGCCGGGAAGGTAAGGGTCGCGGAGTGGGGATTGGGCCGCAGTCCCTCCGACAGCTCAGAGCTCCACGCCTCTGCAGTCGGAGCGGAAGGGGCGGGACCGCTGCGAACAAAGCGCACAAGGTCCAAGGTCCGCGGCCCCGGGGGAGGAAAAGAGTCTGTTTTCTGCGCAGACGCCCCGCCCGGGACGGGGGCGGGGCTTAGGTGACCTGGGGGTGGGGTTAGATTCCGGGCCCGCCTCCACCAGCGCCTGTGAGCCCTGGAGTGCATGGCCCCCCGGCTTATTTTGGGGGCTTCAGGTGAGCCGGACCATAGAAGGGTCAGGGAGACCTTCCTCGAGGTCAGGTCGTCAGTCTGACCGCAGGTCCATCTGACCTGCCGTCTGCCAACAGCCATCTCCGCAGAAAATGGGAGAACAAAGGGAGGGGGCGGTCCTGAGGCCCCTAAGGAAATTCAGGGTCCCAGGTACCCCGCCCCGCCCGCTGACACTTTCGGTTTCTCCCTGAGTCGTAGGCGCCGCCCAAGAGACCCTGGGCCCGCGCTAGGCGCAGCTGCCTCTTCGCCTTTGCCTGTCCGTCTTTGTGTCTGTGTCTGTCTGGCTGTTCCCGAGCTTGTCTCTACTCCAGAACTAAGCCTCCCGGACGCCGACAGCCCAAGCCTCCCCTCCCCTTTCCCATGGCAGGTACGTGGGCGCTAGGCTGGGGTCTGCATTATCCCCCTTCACGAACTTGGGTGCCGGGTGTTTCAGAACACATTCTCCAGGAATGTGCTCAGACTGGCTGCGTGGGGCCCTCCCTTCCTCCTGGGGAGCCACCGCCCTGCCGCCCCCCCCCCCCCGCCCCGCTCCATCATTCTCTGCCTCTTATGTTTCCCTCGGGTGCTCCTGTCCCTTGGGCTGAGAAAGAAGAGGATAAAGCCACAGGTAACTTTCTAACCTACCCCTGCCCCCCTACAGGCTACGTACCCCCCAAAGGCTACGCCCCTTCGCCCCCACCTCCCTACCCCGTGACAGCTGGATATCCAGAGCCTGCGCTGCATCCTGGACCCGGACAGGCACCAGTGCCTGCCCAGGTGCCGGCCCCTGCGCCCGGCTTCGCTCTCTTCCCCTCGCCAGGCCCCGTGGCCCCAGGGTCTCCTGCTCCTTTCTTGCCACTACCAGGGGTGCCTTCTGGCCTCGAATTCCTAGTGCAGGTGAGTGGGAGGAAGGATGGCTGGGAGAACTGTTGATGTTTGGGCTGATGGATAAGGTCACCGCTTCTCTTAACTCTTTACAGATTGATCAAATCTTGATTCATCAGAAGGCTGAACGAGTGGAAAGTGAGTAGGAGGAGGACCAAGTTGGGCTTCATGATCTTTGCGACAGTGGTGCGGTTCTGGGCAGGTGAGGTCCCTGAACCTCAGCATGTTACCCTTAACAGCGTTCCTAGGCTGGGAGACCTGTAACAGGTATGAACTTCGCTCCGGGACCGGACAGCAACTGGGTCAGGCAGCTGAGGAGAGCAACTGTTGTGCCCGTCTGTGCTGTGGTGCCCGCCGGCCACTTCGTGTCCGCCTAGCGGACCCTGCGGACCGCGAGGTGCTCCGCCTCATCCGCCCACTCCACTGTGGCTGCAGCTGCTGCCCCTGTGGCCTTCAGGAGGTGGGTAGCGTAGGTTTTGTGGTGGTTGGTAGACAGTATAGAGACTGGCCCAAAAAGAGTTGTGCTTAATAGGAGGGGAAGGTTTAGTGAGCTTCTGAACCGAAGACGTCTGGCACCAGTGAAGAGCTCTGGCCAGGTATCCTGTCTAACCCTGTCTGCCTCCCTCTCCAGATGGAAGTGCAGGCTCCACCTGGTACCACCATCGGCCACGTGCTGCAGACCTGGCATCCCTTCCTTCCTAAGTTTTCCATCCTGGATGCTGATCGCCAGACTGTGCTTCGAGTTGTGGGGCCTTGCTGGACCTGTAGCTGTGGTGCAGACACCAACTTTGAGGTATTGTAAGTAGGGCGCGATTCCTAGGCTCTTCATAAACCAAGATGGGGGCTAATGAGATGGCTCAGAGGGGAAAGGCACTTGTGCCACCAAGTTTGACAACCTGAGTTCTAGCCATGAGTCCCACATGGTGGAAGACGAGAATCAGCTCCTGCAAAACTGTCCTCCGCTCTCCACACACATACCATGGAGCGTACACAGTCAGCCAATCAATCAATCAGTCAACAAGTGTAGTTAGAAAAACAAGGTGGTAGCTTCCTTGCTAATGGATGGATTAAGGTCAAGTCCCTCATTCTGATGATTCCGAATCTCTTGTGATCCCCACTTTTGCTGTCAGTTTTCTTCCACCCAAAGATGAGATGGTTCTGTGGACCCATAAAAGCACAGCAAAAAAAGATTTCATGGTGGCGCACACCTTTAATCCCAGCACTCAGGAGGCAGAGGCAGGCGGATCTCTGTGAGTGTGAGGCCAGCCTGGTCTATATGGTGAGTACTAGGACAGGCAGAACTATAGAGACCCTGTCTAAAAAAAAAAAAAAAAAAAAAATTCACCTTCAGGCCAAGGCTGAATGTTCCCTGCAGCCCTGTAGGAGGTCTAGGGGAGTCTGAGGCCAATCTAGATCTAAGGTGGAGGACTGTTATTTTCATCTTCTTTCAGTGGTTAAGGTTGCTGTAGGCTGGACCCATGTAGCTGCTGGACCTATCTGTAAGCATAGGCCCTGCAGTACTTTAACCCTTGACTTGTCCTGCAAACCTAAAAGTCCAAATGACCCAGCCAACCTGAAGTCCAGGTGGCTTCCTCTCACCAATCCAGAGCCAGAAGAACCCAAGTGGTGAGGATTTCAGAATGAGACTTGGGAAATGCTTTGGCTCTTAGAAGACAGAGGCACTGCTCGGAGTTCTTTAAGGGATGATTCTCCGTTCAGATAAAGGAGAAATAACAGGTTTCATCCAGCAGAGGTGCCTCACCTAAGGTTGTCTGCAGAAAGTGAGTCACTTGGTAGTCAGAGGGAGTTGTTGGCCTGAGAACTGGTTGGAAAGGAGATAATTGTGTGATCCCTGGATGGGAACATGTGTGTCGTGGGGTTCTCAGGGAGCCGGTGTCCCTTTCATGAACGGTCCATACTTGATCTGCCCTCTCGGCAACGCAGAGTTGGTAGCAGACTCGCTGAGCCTGGGAACTAGGCTGCAGGAAGTTTCCTGCAGCTGCAGGACGAGCTGGGAAGAGGATGCAGAGGATGTAGAAGGAAATCGCTTCAGTTCTCTTCCCTGGACCAGGAAGTCACTGAGTCACCACTGACCTCCACATGGCTGGCTTGTTCTTGCTGAGCTGAGAGGCCAGTGGCAATCAGTCCTCAGAGGCTGCCTGTTGGCACCTGTCGGCTAGGATTGGCTAGCCTTCAGAGGGGTTCACATGCAATGCTGGAAAGGAAGAAAAATCCCACTTTTGGGAGGGTATTTGGCACCTCCCTTCGCCCTCTCAGCTCTCTCCCTTGCACAGAGCACATCCTTTGCCTACAGCACCAGCCCTGGGTGTCAGGAATACCGGTAACCAAAACAGGCCTAGCAGCGAGTCATTTATCTCTGAATGCAGTTATATTGCACATGGCCTTTGGAAAGCAACAGATCTAAATCTAAATTCTAGTCTTCATGGTGTATTCATGCAGCCTAGGGTGCGTTTGCCGTCACTGAGGATACAGTCTACCCAACTCATGTGTGCCACTGTCCAGTGAGGCAGGAGGCACGTGAGATGGACAGCGTGTTCCCCAGTGGGACCCTTCTTTCCTCCCAACAGGTGAAGACTAAGGATGAATCTCGCAGTGTGGGCCGCATCAGCAAGCAGTGGGGAGGGCTGCTCCGGGAAGCCCTCACAGATGCCGACGACTTCGGCCTGCAGTTCCCACTAGATCTAGACGTGAGGGTGAAGGCTGTGCTGCTGGGAGCCACGTTCCTCATTGTGAGTTGGTGGTCCCTTCCCTGCCTACTGCTCCTTTCCTGTTAGCCGAAGCTTTGTTTGCTTCCTGGGCCCTTACTAGGCTAGGCACGTGTGTGGTGGGTTTCAGGTCCGGAGCTGACCCAGCCAGATGTCCCATTGACAGTGACCTTTCCTTAGGATTATATGTTCTTTGAGAAACGAGGAGGCGCCGGGCCCTCTGCTGTCACCAGTTAGAAGCCAGCTCAGTATGAGGAGACCATCACCTCAACCAGAATTCAAGATGGTCAACCGCCCTGGCCTTTTCCTCCTGAGGCAACCCCTTCCTTGGCATACACTGCAGCAGACAGACAGGTGGCTGAGTGGTGGGGACCATTGTGTCCCATCCCTTCCCTCTCCTCCTCCCTCCTTCACCTGTGGCCTGCAGTGGAGTATGCATGAGAACCCTTCCTGTGTCTTACCATCTCCCGGCAGTCCCTACCCACACACTACTAGATTTTGGACTTTCCTGCCCTCTCCTTCCCACCTTCCTCCAGGGCCTCTGCACAGGAGGAGACTTATCCAGGGCTGGTGGGTAAACAGCAAGCAGCACCAAAGATGGCAGCCACGCCACCCTTCCCTCATGTCACCTTAGCCAGTTAGTTTAGCTTCAGAAGGTGGCACTTTGAAGGGACCCCGCCTCCTCATTAGTAGCTGGAGAGGCGGGGACCCAGTGCCAACTTCCTAACCCCCTGGGCCCTGCCGGTGCTTTCTGCAGCTTCCTGTGCCTTAGTTAACCTCTTCCTTCCCCTGCTGGAGGAAGGAGGCTGTGTCTTTGTATGTTGTACTCATATAAAGTTTGCAACTTTTTAAACGTTGGAAGATGTATGTGATGGAAAGGGAAGAAGAGAGAACCGGTGTGGGATAAAAGAAAGGGAATAGCAGCGGGGCTAGAAGTGGCCATCTCATAATCTATAGTATTTGTATTAAAGAAAAAAAAATACTTGAGTCCAAAAACTGAGTTTTCATCACCCATGGTGATTCCAGACCAAAACCAAAGCAAGTCAGTGTCTAAGACGGGTGTCCCACGGAGTCTAGTGGGGTAGCTAGTGACAGGTCTAACAGTTGGTCCATGGTCCAGC